TAGGAAGATCTGCTAGAAAGTAACTACAATAATTCAGGTGTGGTGGCACATTTAGATGAATGGGAGGGTGGGTAAGGGGGTGACAAGACATGGTCTGAATATGGGTCTGTTTTGAAATCAATTTATCCTTTCTTACTACTGCAGGACACTTGCTTCTCTCTCTTCTCTTGTATTTTCCAGTTCTCTTTGTTTTTGCTGAATCTCCTTAGTCCTCCCACTGAAATTTGCCCGGAATCATGAAGCTGACCTGCTTGGGCAGAACCAGCACCAATTTGAATTGTCAGAGCTCCTGGAGGTTTCTGTTTGTGCTGTACTTGATTGTCCTGCATCATGTGACACTTCAAAACTCTCACTTTGCTTGGCTTCCTTGAAAATTCTCTCTCTTGTTTTTCCCTTGCACATCTAGCTCCTCCTCAGAATTCTTCACAGGCTTCTCTTCCTCCACTCACCTCTAAAATATAAAGCTTCCTAAGACTCTGACCTTAAGTTTCTATTTCTCGTCTGCTCTGTTTTCTCCTCAGAAGGTCATTTCAGTATGAAATATATACCCAAATACTATATGATGCCTCAAAATCAATAGAATTTTATTTTTACAAGCAATATTATGAAACAACTGTTCCTAGTTAATTGTTGTTGTTGTTTTTAATTGAAATTTTAACTTGGGGGCCAAGATACCAGATTACTATCAGATGCCAGAGTGAGGGTGACGTAGACCTCTGTGGAATAATTTTTAAAGTTGGTATCTGAGAACAGAGTCTATGATTCTTAAAACCTTCTCCCTAGATTGACCTCTGCCTCCTCACTCCCTCCCCTCCGAGAGTTGGTATCTGAGAACAGAGTCTATGATTCTTAAAACTTTCTACCTTCTCCCTAGATTGACCTTTGCCTCCCCACTCCCGCCCCCTCCGCAGGCCTTCACAGCACTATTATCTGTGTCCATGGGTTTTGCATAAATGCATATAAGTTCTTTGGTTAATCTCTTCCCCAAACCTATATCATTTAATTGACCAACGTCACTCCAATAAATTTAATTGAAATATATATAATATTTTTATTGATTTCAGAGAGGAAGGGAGAGGGAGAGAGAGATAGAAACATCATATTTATGATGAGAGAGAATCACTGATCGGCTGCCTCCTGCAAGCCCCCGCCACTGAGGATTGAGTCCGCAACCAGGGCATATGCCCTGACTAGGAATTGAACTGTGACCTTCTGGTTCATAGGTCGATGCTCAACCACTGAGCCACGCTGGCTGGGCAAAATATATTTTTATTGATTTCAGAGAGGTAGGGTGAGGGAGAGAGAGATAAAAACATCAATGGTGAGAGATAATCATTGATCAGCTGCCCCTGCACAACCCCCCACTGGGGATCGAGCACATAACCTGGGCATGTGCCCTGACCAGGAATCAAACTGTAACTTCCTGGTTCATAGGTTGATGCTCAACAACTGAGCCACACCAGTTGGGCTAAATTTAATTTTATAAAATCACAATAAGATAGCTCCTCACACCTGTTAGAATGGTTTTTAATAATAATAATAAAAAACAAGAGATAACATTTCTGGGAGAGATGATGATATCTGATTTATATTTTTTGGAAATAACAATACTAATGCTCTATTTTTAAATTTGTATATTTGCAACAATACTGTATAAGTCAAAATTACAATCCTTTCACAACAAATTCATCCTAGTGTCAATTTTTATTTAGAAAATCATTTTTAAAATATATTTTAAATTAATTTTATTGGAGCGACATTGTTTAATTAAATTGTATAAGTTTTCAGTGTACATTTCTATGGTACATCATCTGTATATTATATTTTGTGTCCACCACCCAAAGTCAAATCTCTTTTTATCACCATATATTTGACTCCCTTTACCATTTACTACCTCCCCATTCCTCTTCCCTCTAGTAACCACCATACTATTGCCAGAGTTTTTGTTTGTTTGTTTTTCTTATTTGTTCATTTGTTGCTTTCAGTTTTATATCCCACATATGGAGTGAAATCATATGGTTCTTGACTTTTTCTGTTTGACTTATTTTACTTAGCATAATATTCTCAAGATTTATCCATATTGTTGCAAATGGTGGTATTTTATCTTGTTTATGGGTGAGTAGTATTCCATGGTATAGATGTACCACATCTTCTTTCTCCAATCATCTATCGAAGGCCATTTTAGTTGGCCACCATGAATAATGCTGCAATGAACTTAAGGGTGCATATATCTTTGTGAATAAATGTTTTCAATTTTTTTCCTGTAGATACCCAGAAGTGGGGTTGCTTGGTCATATGGTCACTCTATTCTTAATTTTTTTGAGGAACCTCCATAATGGTTTCCATAGTGGCTATACCCATTTACTATTCATTTATATTTTCCACATTTTATTTAAAAACGGTGTGTTAGTTTTAAAATTAGAATGGATGCAATTTAGAAAGCAATAATTTTGGAAGGGCAAGAAGGTCCCCCTTATTGCTGCCTTTTTCTTTCTGTACTGATGCACCAGAAGAGAACACCCCTGCCTCTTCCTACTTGCACAATAGCTTGTTCACCTAGGTCATGGATGCTCCATTAGTCAATAGGATTCTAACTTGGGGTGTCTCACTTTCTCTAGGGGTCATATTACTTTTCTGAGTCCCCCAGAAGTTTGTGTAGAAGTAGGATATGTAGTTTTAAATGCCCACGTACTAATTTCCTTTGGTCACACTCTTAACCAGCAGCTAGTGTTCATGTCTTTTGCTTGGTCATTCCTTGCCCTGGTTCCACCTAGGCAGCTGCTAGATATCAGCACTCCCCTTCATTGGAGAAGAGTGGGGCAAAACATCACTCAGTTCAATAACTTGGCTTTACTGACCACAACAGGTTGATGGAAGTGGTCAAATTTACACCTACAAGCTAATACAACCACCAGTTCTACCGGAATCCCTACATTGCTTCTTTAAAGTACATGCTATTCTTCTGGCGTTAGTTAGGGGGCAGCAGATATCCTGGCAATTTTTTGCTGTCTGAAGTAAGCTTCCAGTTTGGAGATCCTGAAGTTGATATGCATTGTATTAATATTTTACTTACCGTGTGTCACGTGGTCTGGCGGTTCCTTCCTGCACTAGCTGATCATTTTAGGGAGCCAAGCCACTCACCTACTGGAGTGTTTATAATTCAATACCGAGTAAAGGTGAACCCAAGTAATAAATTACTCTGTGTAATTACTGCGCTGTGCCTTAGCTGAGCCAGTTTCATTACTATCCAAATATTACAAAACCCAGCCTTCTCTTTTGGTCTGCCATTCAGTCTCTCACACACGCCCAAGTAAGCTTTATTTTGACTCCTTAAAATACCCTCAGAATGGGACTGCACGTAAAGGGATGAGTGAAAACATCTATAAAATTGCTTTTGCAAGGGCTGCAAGCTGCTAATTTAAGAGGATGAAAGATAGCTCGGCCTGTGGCAAAAACATTTCCTTTTCCCGATACATATACATTAAGGAGATGCTACTTTTTCAGCTATTAATCAGATATTGAAAAGCCTGAATGCTGAGTTTGAATCCAGGTAGTCCAGCTGCAGAACCACACACTTTAAGCACAGCTTCAAATGGACTTCTTCCTATTTCAGACCCCTGGGGTGCAGAGCCCGCACCTTTAGTAACCATGAGGCCATAGGTAGCTGTGCCCACCCACGTTATTCGGGGAGTCTTGACGACAGGCTGTCCTCTTCAGCTAGGTGCCACCAGGGACAGAGTAAACCGGGAGTCATTTGGGATGAGGTGGTTCTAAAGACTGCCTTCATTTTAAGTCCAGGAGGAAGCTGTTCTGAGGAGGGCCTGTCTTCTTGGGACAAGGACCCTTGGTGAAGTTTGGCCTTTGTACGCCTCCATCTGAAAACTTAGTTTGTTATTTTATGAGAATTTGGATTGAAGGTTAGAGATGATTGCTCAGAGGGGGAAAGTGTGAAATGGTAATCACTTTCATATGACACTTGAGAAATGTTATAATAAAGCTGAGTAAGTTGGAGCATGAGTTAGCCAGTCCTTTGCCTAATGATGTCACCCACTTTCTGCTTCCTCCAGTCTATGATTAATGAAAGGGGGATTATTACAGTAACTCACTCCAAGTGGGCAGCAGTGACATCAGCAGCAGCTGAGCAAACTGACTACATTTAGTCGTGCGTGTGGATGTGGGCATTTTTTTTTCTCTGTGACTAACATGAAGCTAACAGCATCTAATGAAACAAAAGCTCCTTGAAATTTGGGGAACTTATTGAGTGGACTTTTTTGCTACAGGGAGCACCATTTTAATTATTCTCATTTTATAGTTAAATGATGTTAGAATTGGCCAAAATTACATGATTGGCTTTCTGCCCCTCTTCATGTAGTCATCACAAATTAACTCTTGATCTTTGGGAAGGAGGTTTTCTGAAGCTTTTGCTTTCTAATAGAATGGCTCTTCCTACATTCATCATTCTATCTCATCTTTTGAGTACGCAGGCCGACGCTCTATCCACTGAGCCAAACCGGCTAGGGCGTCTATCTCATCTTTTAAAAGAAAATCAGTGAGTATTAAGAAAAGGGACTGTGGCCATAAGTTTTTTTGGTGTGTGTGTGTGTGTGTGTGTGTGTGTGTGTGTGTGTGTGAAAGTTCAAGACTAGTTGTAGAATCCAGTGATCCCAGTTCAACATTTAGAATATTGGGCTTAATTAGTTTGCTTTGCAAGCTGATAAAAATGAACAGAAGTCCTGCTTGCTATTTCACCTTTACAAACTTGACTGTCCTAAAATTAGAGTGGGGCACCTAGAAATATTTACTCACTGAGCTGAGCCACTGCCAGAACGCACTGTCATGTACATGAAAGTACACAGAGTCTGGAACAACGGCACTCCACTGTGCGGGCCTGGACGTGCCTCAGAGGTGCTTCGACAGGGAGCAGAACCTTTGGACTCTTTCTATCAACACACAAAGGAGACAGCAATTCACTGATAAAAAAAATACACATAGGACTGCCCCCAGCCTATTCTGTCTTCCCTTCTGAAGCTACAATTTGGGAACAGGTTGTGGGATAGCTTTGTGGATAGACAAACCTGGATTCTGCTCTCTTATCCAAGTCCAATGGAATCTAGATGCTAAACCTATATGTCCACGAGTCAGCAACATGGAACTTATTACCCGAGAGGATCCAGGTGAGAAAAACGTTTACAATAGCTGTTATATGTTCTTTTGTGAATACCTCTCCTAATCTTGTGGGGCAATATACGGTCAACTGCTGTGGCAGATGTTTGTTGATTGCATTAGAACTGAGCTATGATAATCAATTTCGAAATGTATGTTGGTCAGGAAAAAGTTTGAGGACATAGTTATCCTTTTGAGTTAGTGTTAGTATTGGCTCCCCCCTCCCCAATATACGTTCTTTTATGAGGTTATTTGTGACTATTTCTCTCTACATATTGAGTTTTTCACAAGTACTAAGTAGTTCTTGGGAAGAAATCCAGGTGTCTCTGAATCATTGGGAGGTTGATTGAAGTGTCTGGTTCCAAAATGACCATTTACCTGAGGAGTCTGATTCACATGCTAGAGCTAATGAGATGGCCTTGGAGTGTCTAATACATTCCCCCCATGGCTCTCTTCATCTTGCAACAGTCTCTGACCGGCCGTCTGCTTCTGGATGATCCAAATCACCCAGGGACTAAGTGGTGAGTCAGGGAAGTTGGCCGAATCATGCAGGGGATGGCATTTCACATCTAAGCCCGTTGGATCCAGGCAACTTCCCTGTTGTGTGTTTCACCAACATTTGCTGATTATTATCATTATTTCCCATGATATGAAATCTTTCATAATAGCTCCCCCAGTCCTTGCATGGGGGCAACACCTGAAAGGGCATGGCCTTCCTTCAACAGTTATCCCACCTCCTTTTAAAGAGGAAGTTTGGAGAATATCATCTTGCTTGGAAGACGCATTAGGATTTAGCAAAGCCCTCTGTTTTCTCTCCTTGGATGTGGTGTGTCATTCCCCTAATGTATTAAACAAATAAAATCAAGCTACATCATATTTGTTTGCTCTGGGACAGTGGTCGGCAAACTCATTAGTCAACAGAGCCAAATATCAACAGTACAACGATTGAAATTTCTTTTGAGAGCCAAATTTTTAAAACTTAAACTATATAGGTAGGTACATTGTTATTAACTTGATTAGGGTACTCCTAAGGCTTAGGAAGAGCCACACTCAAGGGGCCAAAGAGCCGCATGTGGCTCGCGAGCCGCAGTTCGCCGACCACAGCTCTGGGAGAAAGGCATGGCAATCTCGCCTTTGTGAACTTTACTTCTGAGAATTCTCTATTGCATGGACTTATCTGCTACTGAATTGCTGACGTGAATAACTCAACTCCTCACTCACTTACTCTTTTCCATAAGCCTGTTGCTTCCTAACAACTCCGGTGTTGGCCAGCTCATCTCATGTTGTTGCTGGTCACCAAGATTCTTCTTTTCCTTAGAACACAAGGTCAGCAGGAAATGTACCAAGGCCATGCTGGAAAATGGGGGGTGGGGGTCGGGGAGACCACAATGTTGCCGGTATGCTTACAGAGTAGTATCTGCTGTGTGGTGTGGGTCTGCATTAATCAGGAAGCACAAAACACAGGAGGAGGCAGAATTGTTTGAATTATTATTTTTCATGGTTGCCAAGGCCCTTTGGGGCATGGATGGGAAAGGAATTATGTGAAACTTCAAAATTATAACTTAAAATCAGGGTTTCTCAACTCTGGGGCACCCAACATTTAGCCAGCGAATGTCTCTGTTGTGCAGGCTGGTCTGTGCACTGTAGGATGTTTAGTAGCATCCCTGGTCTCTGCCCACTAGATGCCAGGAGCCTCCCCATCTTGTTAGGCCGAGTAAAAATGTCTTCATTGTCAGGTGACTTCTGGGAAGCAAAATCACCCCCATTGAGAACCACTGCTCTAGACTAAAGGATAACAGTTTACATTTTTTCTCTCCCTAATCATTTTAGTTCTAGCATCTGGGTTCCCTCTGTTCTGATAAGGCATTTCCAAATTCTCTGAACACAGAGCACTTATGCAGAGCACAAGACCTTGTGGACTATCCCAGTGATTCTCAGGGAAATGTGAGGTTAGGAAGACAATTTTGGATTAATTATTTCTGACTCTTGTTTTCTACTAAATTCTGGAGGAATTTCAATCTTTCTCTCTCTCTTGATCTGTCTCACTCTCTAGCTCTATTCATTCATTGATTTATCTTAAAAGCAAACAGCTTCCCAGTTCACTTTTGAATGTGAAATACTGACCCTTCTTTGTCCCAAATCTCTCTATATACAGCCGACTGTACAGGAAACAGGCAGGGTTTGCCAATCCCATATTCAACCTAAAAACCATTTGATGAGACTCCCCAAATCTCCCTGCAGCAAATAACATTCTGACTCTGCCCACGTTTTCTCGATTCTTAGCTTCCCCTCGAGGGAGTCACCGCTGCCCACCTAGGCCAGGTTTTCCCTCCCTGAGCCCAGAATAACACGTCAACTGCTGGGAACACCTCGAGCCCTTTTTATTTCTCTCCACAGTCACGTATCGTGTTCTGTCTCCCAGAAAGGATGAACCAGAAAGCATGCTTTTTTGGAAACAGATTTTTCATGGGAAGGAACTAAAACACCCTGAGTTGTCAGCAGCCTCGTCCGTGCTCTGAACCCCCAGCCTCGTGCTAGTTCAGCTGAATCAGAGGACAACTTCCCAGTCACCTGCGAGGGATGTTCACGTCTCCTGGCGTGTATGTTTCACTGAATACCAGCACTGCGTGTGCTGCAGCTAAAACAACAGCCCCCTTTTCTAGGGCCATTTCCTTGCTCCAGAAGTAGTGAGCAAAGAGACCAATTAATAAATAGCATGGGTGGAAACGGAAGGACATAAGGTTTGCTTGGGAAGAAAAATGAGCATTCTTGCTTCTTGCTCGATGCTAACTTCACCTGGGGACAGCCGCTGCCATGGGTAAACACCACTACAGGTGAGCGGGGCCCTCAGGTGTGTGTCACCACAGGCCACAGGCAGGAGCAGGGATCCTGGTCTCTCCCCTGGTTGCACCATTGAGCCCTTATCCTTAAAGGAACTGTGTTTTTGACCAACTCTCTCCTTGTGATTGAACACACCAGCTCCCCAGCAAGGCACAGCCCTTGGAGTTAGCAGCAGCAAGACAAGCCCTAATTGCTCCATTTACATAAAAGTAGAAACATACAACTTCTAAATATAAATCTCTGGCACATCCTGCCTTTTGCAATTACAGTGAAATAAGGTAGCACCGTTTCCCTCCCGGCTCCCTGTCGCAGCAAGCTGCTCGGCCCGGTTCTCCAGGGGCAGCTCCCCTAGCCCAGAAGGGAGCCTTGCAAATGCTCCGGGAGGAGCTGGGCGCTGTGTGAAGTGGCCAAGCAGGCCGGCCGCCCTAGGTGGGACCCGCAGTGGCCGTGGGCCACGGGCTAGCACAGGAGCTGCTGCCCGCCCCCCACTCCACAGGAGGCATCAAAGCTCCTGGGCGCCTCTCCCTGTCCAGCAGCCAGCCTGCGGGTCCCCAGCCTGGACCCTGACACTGGCTGTGCTCTGGGCCCTGGCGCTGAGCACCGATTCCGACATTCCCAGCTGCGATCACTGAACAGTTATTTTTCCCCCCCACTCTCTGAATTCTTTAGCTGCCAAAAGGGGGCAAAAATCAAGAGCTGCTCTGAAAAGAGCTTGCCCTTGCTGGTGCTCCGGGTAAAAATAGAGGCGGCCGCTCTGCAGGGCTTGGCGGTCGCGTCGCAGCGTGATCCCCGGGAGCTGCCAGCAGGTGTTGCTCAAGGTACAGTAGCAGCCGAGCCGCCGGCAGCAGGGCCGGGGGTGGGGAGCTGCTCGGGGGGGAGGGGGCAGGAAGTGAAAGAGAAACCAAAGCGAGGAAGGAAGAGGAGATGCTTGACAGAAGCTGGGCTGACCCGCTTACTTTGGACCCTGGAGTTTGGAAGGAAAAAGATCACTCCCAGCCCGGAATATTCCAGAGAAGTTATTTTAACACGCCCGCTTCCCCTACCACCCCCACCTTCACTTCCACGGAGCGAGGAGGCATTCCAGGGTGCCTCAGCGCTGAGCTTGGGGGATTCAGGTAGAGAATGACATCACAGCTGGTGGGCATCTGAGAGCCTACCCGGTCTGAGTCACACATGTGGGGCGGCTCCTCTAGTGAGGGCGCTGTAGATTCCTGTGACACCAGTGTTTACAAAGGCATCGCAGGAATGGATCCCACTTTATGGATGAGAACACTGAGGCCTTAGGGAGTGGTCAGTATGCAGTGGGACCTGGGGCTCATCCAGGTTGGTTGTTGCCCCCAAACTCAAAATCAGGGGTTATTTCTGGGACAGGCGGGTTCTCCCATGGGGGAGAAGCTGAGTTCAGAGGCCTCGCAGGCCATTGCCCTTCATGAGGGGCTCATGCGATAGGCTGGGGAAGTTCCTTTCTTAGGGAGAGTCTGAGTCCATCCAATTCCAAACTGATGGTCAGGTGTGGCGTTAGCCAACACTGATCCTGTTTCTATCTTTCCTTCTCAGATTCCCTCCGTTCCTGTACAACCTAATGATTTAATTTCCTACTTTATTTCTGCATATGCAGTTCTTAGAATACTCCCCACCCCCACATACAGTTCTGCATCCACACTTTCTCTGTGTTTGGCCAAGGCGGATCCTCTTACACAGAAAACTGATGGTGTCCTAGAGGAACCAGCTTCAGTTATACATCAGGAGGCCAGAGCCTCTAGATGTTGCTGGTGGGCACAGTGAAAAGTTTATTTTATGCATGTTAAATCCTGCATACAAAACAACATATATGGTCATATGGCTTTCATTAGCTCCCAATTTTGCACATTTTATTCAACTTATGGTGAGGACCCAGCGTATGCTTCAGCTATACTCCAAACTACCCTTCTCCACCATCCTTGTCTGAAGATTCCTTCCTCCTGTGTTATTTTCGACTTGCTAACACACCCCCCCCAAAGAAAATCCCAACCAACTTAACCCCTATACGAGGAATGCTTGTTTCTTTTCATTAATCTCTTGTTATGTTTGTAACAATTTAGAAATCATAAGACTTCAAGATTTGATAAAGAAGGATAATATATGAGATTTTTTTGGCGGGGGGAGGGGGATTCTAAAGACTGGGAAGGATACGTATAATGTTTACCTGCAGAGAATGACTATTTCCAAAGTTCTTGGTGATAAATGAGTTATGAAGTAGGCATTCAATTTCATGATGTAAAATAATAGGGTTGACAGGGCAGGGAGACCATCATCATATAAGTATACATATTTTCTTTTTTTTCCAATGGAATATCTTATTTAAAAAAAATAAAGTTAGAATCCTTAAAAAGGGTACTGTGAATTTTCTTGCCTGTAAGAAACAATAAAATACTTTGTAAATAGAGGTAACTTCATGAAGTAACAGATGTTTTATGTGAAGACATAAAACTGAACCTGAATATAATGAGAAGTGTGTGTGTGTGTGTGTGTGTGTGTGTGCAAATAGTAAAAGAAAAGTTGGAAGTTGATACTCAGTGAGATATAACTGCTTCATTCCAGTAGTTTTCTTTAAGGTAATCTAGTCAGCCAGAGGTTTCCTGCCTCAGGGATCACCCAAAAGCAGCTAAGAAAAGACTTTCCATTAGATAATGATTATGAAATATGCCTCACACTGGAAAAACTAGTCATCTGCTGATGTCATGCAATTCTAACCAATCCCAAACAAAGCCCCAGCCCTCCTGTTTGAGTGGTACCAATGTGTGAGTGTACAAGTAAGTAGTACAGTATAAAAGTTCACAGAGCCAATACCATGAAGAGGAACTCAGACAGCTCTAACCACATGATACAAGAGGCTGCTGGTGAAAGAGAGAGCCCCGGAAAGGTAATGCTTTTTAACTCTTACTTGTGAGCTGCTTACACATTCATAGGCAGGATGGTTAGAAGGAATTTTACAACTGACCGGCACTTCATGCACGTTATGGTTTTGTACCTTCTTGTATTATTCAGGCAGGTTGACACAGCTTTTAATAGGACAGCATTGCAAATAGATTATGTGTTTATACAACCTATTCAGCACATGTACAGGGAGACACATGCCAAAGAGAAAGCTATTTGTTCAGAGTTACATTCACAAGCAGCAAATGTAGGGGACACACACATCCCCGCAGAGAGAATCCTGATGCTGATAAATTGCACTGAATCTAAATGCTACTATGAGGACTCTTGTGTCGTTTGGAGTCATTCAACTTTTAGTTCTATGTCAGACTCGCTTGTAAAACTTCATTGGACTACAAAAGGCTTTGGATACTGTATCTGTAATGCCAAATAGCTAGATTCTATTAAATATTATATGGCAAAGGTATTTTATTAAACAATTATAATGCAAATGTCCCCTTCCCCATTTTTTGTCACCACCCCTCACTAAAAAATTAGGCTGTTTAGGGAATGCTGGCAGTCTTAACAATATCAGCAGAGTAACTGACGTTCCTGGAGGTGAAACTCCAAAGGTGATACAGGGCTGGTACCACAGAAAGTCTTGCAAGTAATTGTTTTTGGAGAGGGGGGCAATGCATGCAATTCAGGAAACCGTCCTTACTTGTGCAAACTGTCACTGTAACTTAGTGCCACAACTTTCTCACCCTCCTCCCTGGCCCTCCAACCTCAGGCATATAGTAATGGCATTTATTAACTTTCTCCTCCCCTTCCCCAAATTGTCATGCTTGACTGTAATGCTCTGAACACGCTAGGTGTCAGATATAAGCTGGCTGTATCTACAGAAACGGAGAGGGCTTATGTGTGGGAAAGAAACCCAGAGGGAAGGAGAGCTTTAACAGATGGACCTCTTAAAGATACTTCTGCAAGATAAAAGCATTAAGACAGAAAATGAAAAAAAGGGGCTGCGGCGGGGGCAGGGAGGAGAATGAAAAAACAACAACCACCTCAGAGAGGCATTGTTTAAAAATTCACATTTTTCTTTGACTGTGAACACTGAAATCCATGATGATTTCATCTGCGCTGCTCCTTTGAGAGAAAAGGAGGCAGCCCAGGGGCCAGTCCATGACCACACTGGTCCAGGATAGGGTGGGGTGTGGAGGGGCTGCAAAAAACCCCCACATGACAGAGAAAATCACTTGCCAATGTATTTTAGAGATTTTTGTCCCCCATAGGACCAGTAATTCAAGTTGTAAGAGCGTACTATTTGTGTGACATAATGTGGGAAAGGCCAAGTGAATTGTGCATTTTCTCTATGAAGTCAGGGCAAGCGGTGGTGGGCTGTCGTGAGTGTGTGTGTGTGTGTGTGTGTGTGTGTGTGTGTGTGTGTGCAGGGCAGGAGGGGGTGGCTGCTGAGGAGAGAGAGGGGAAAGTGCTTCAGATGACAGGAGCACATAAAACGCTGCCTGCCTGCCTGCCTGCCTGCCTGTGGATCTGCAAAGTGCCCCGCGGCATTTTGCAGTTGGGAAAAGTAGAGTGTATTATGTGACCCCAAACAAAAGTTCTGCTGCGCTTGCTCCTGTCAGATCGCCTGCCAGTGTTGACGATCCTGAGCGTTTAACTCTGAATGAATGGGGAACCGGGAAGATCTCTGGGATTCCCTCAAGCTGGAACTCTTGACTGGCCCTGTACCCCGGAGTCCCCTGCCCCTCTTCCCGACCTCCCCTACCCTACCTGGCCCCTGACCTCCGGCACCCTGAGCCCACGCTCCAGGCCGGTGAGCTGTGAGTCCAGGGCTGTGGCTAGGAGAGTGCAGGGCGGTGGGGGCAGCCTGTGCAGTGAAGTCATCCCTGCGATTGAGACAGTGCCTTTACTTGGGGCATTTTTTCCTCTCCAAAAGAGGAAGAAGGTGAAGCAAGGGGACTGGGCAGAGAAAAAAACAACAACAGTAGAACAAAATTAGGAGAATGTCTTTCCGAAGGGAAAGTGGAACTCCCGAGAATGGAGATATTTGAAGAGAGGTGTGTGTGAGGGAGCCGTGAGCAGCAGGGAAGCAGCCTGTCAGAAAACGGGCTTTCCCTCCCCTTCTAATCACAGCCTCTACTCACAACTCCCTCCCTCTCCCATTCACTCACTCACTTAGGGCCAATCGTTCCCTCTCTCCCTCTCTCCTCTCTCCTTCTCTCTCTCCCTCCTTCCCTCCCTCCCTCTCTCTCCCTCTCCCCTCTTCTCTCCCTCTCTCTTCTGTCCCCTTCTCTCCGCTTTCCCTGTCTCTCCCTCCCCCCTATCCTCCCTGTCTCTGTCTCCCCCCCACCCTCTCTCTCCCTCCCTCTCTCCCTCCCTCCCTCCCTCCTTCTCTTACTCGGAGACAGTCAGAACTCTCCTCCCTGACAGCCACAAACCTACAGCACTGACTGCATTCAGAGAGGGAACCTGCAAAGAAAACTTCACAGAAAACTTTTTGTTCTCGTTCCAGAGAATTTGCTGAAGAGGAGAAGGAAAAAACCCAAACCAAACCAAACCAAACAAAAAACCTGTGCGTGAGGGGGGAGGAAAAGCAGGGCCTTTAAAAAGGCAACCACAACAACTTTTGCTGCCAGGATGCCCTTGCTTTGGCTGCGAGGATTTCTGTTGGCGAGTTGCTGGATTATAGTGAGGAGTTCCCCTGCCCCGGGATCCGAGGGGCACAGTGCGGACCCTGCCTGCCCGTCCTGTGCACTGACCACCCTGCCCAAGGATGTACCCAGCGCTCAGCCGGAGATGGTGGAGGCCGTCAAAAAGCACATTTTAAACATGCTGCACTTGAAGAAGAGACCCGAGGTCACCCAGCCGGTGCCCAAGGCGGCGCTTCTGAATGCGATCAAAAAGCTCCATGTGGGCAAAGTGGGGGAGAACGGGTACGTGGAGATAGAGGATGACATCGGAAGGAGGGCAGAAATGAATGAACTGATGGAGCAGACCTCAGAGATCATCACGTTCGCAGAATCAGGTGGGTGCTGGCGCTGGGGCTGGGGCTGGGGGGGGGGGTGTATTTCCCTCACAGTCCTAGGAGCAACTTCTTTTCCCTCCAGCTGTACTCTGCCTGGGAGGGTCATTAGTTATTAGGTGAAGGTGGCAGGCAGGCGGAGGGGGGTGCGTGACGGGGAGAGGACTTCAGAGAATTGGAATTCAGGAGCCTGGCTGGTGGTGGCTAGCTTACACTTGCTATGTGCATCGGGTCACCCGGAGGAAGCCCTGCGGCCAAGCTGGGGCTGGGAGCTGGTCTGGGAGAGGCTCCCTCGCCCGGGTCTGGGAAGCCAGGTCTGAGCAGCGTGATGAAAGAAATCAGGGTGCCTGGGGGACTCAGGAGGCTTCCGGGGACCCCGTCCAAAGTTTGTGTGGGGGCAGGGGCGGGGTGGGGAGTGTGGGATTGGGGTGGTCCGGCATCGATGAAGTCACTGCCTTAAACAAATCTTCCCTTGGAAAGTCCAATCAGGGGCCACCTCAGAGGAGCAGGGCACATCTCTGAGTGACATTCATTTTTACCTTCAGAAAGTCTGTCTATAAGAGCACAGGCGTCTCATTCTAGGCAGCCAAGAGCGGCTTCAGGGGACAGTTGCCATTGCCCCGGCAGTCACTTTTAAAACACTGACTTTTGGTTTCTGAGCTGAGAGAGAGAGAGAGAGAGAGAGAAAAGAGTTTTGTTCTCTGTAAAGTTACTAAGCGCTCTCTGCCAAGGAATGCAACCTTGACAAAGTGCTCTCAGATACGACACTGAACTCTCACTCAATCCTTAAGAGGAAGAACTTTAATAAATAGATTCTAATCTTTGGCTCAGGACCACACTAACCTGTTGCTGAATAGAAAATACCTGTCAAAAGTGGAGGCGGAGATCTGCAGCCAGGCCACTGTTAGTTCTGTCACAGGGATCCTTTTGCATGCCTCCCCGCCCATGCATGCCCGGGCACCCGGATATGTTCATGCCATGTTACCTTCATGGGAAGGCCAGGCTAAGGAAGCATATCTCTTGGCAAACCTATTTGAAAGGAATGCCATTGTTGTGTTTGGTAGAGCATATGGCCAGTGAAGTATGTGCAGGGGCTCCCAGAATTTCTGTTGGAAAGTTTGCCGCAGCAGTGTAAACATTCAAGGCAACACTCAGAATTTCCAATCCTGAAAACCTGTTGACTCAGATGTTCTGTTTTCAAGAAAACCTTCCAAGACCTGGGCATCCTTTTAGGGGAGCAGGCAGCCTGTTGGCTTCCTGGCTTCCCCCCTGTTGGAGAAGCCCTGGTGTCCTGCAAGCTTCCCGGCAGGGTAGTTTAGCTCTCTCATCAGAGCAAAATTCTTTTAAAGGTCTTACTTTTTTTCCCTAAAACTCTTTCTGGATAGAGCCGCGAAGGACATGATGATTAGGACTTTATTTTTTGAGGAAAATAAGTCAGGCTGGAGTTTTCAAGTTGCCACCCAATTTTCCCCAACCTTTCCTGTGGCAAGGTAGGAAAGAGAGTGTTTAATGGCTTTGGGTCCTGTGCAGGACATGGATTCCAGCAGTCCAGAGGTCTGCTCCCTGTCCTGACTAGAGGGATCCTGTGTGTTTTTATATGCCAGTTGCCACACCTGATGGCCTTAATTGCAGCTCCTCCTCAATTGCCTTTACCACATCATATGGCTAAGTATACCTATGCCTTTGACCACTTTTAATACATACCTGGTGCTAGCAACATGTCCTGCTTTCTCACTGAGCTGACTTTTATAGCAAACCGCTCTCTTGGCATTGGGAGATTGTGCAGTGAAAGAATTTGACCTTTTATATATCTTTTTATTGACTTCATCTCAGTGCCACTCTTTTTCTAAGTTATATGAAATCTTGTCATTTTTTAAAACTTTTCTTTTTAGTTAGTGTTTTTTTAAATTGAGAGAGAGGAACAGAGATGGAGAGAGAGAGAAACATCAATGTGAGAGAAAAACATTGATCCATTGCCTCCCCTAGGCACCCCACAATCTGGGTGTGTGCCCTGACCTGGAATCAAATCAGTGACCTTTTGGTGCTTGGGGTGAAGCTCAACCAACTGAGCCACACCGGCCAGGGCTTAAAAATTTTCTATTAGGTGTTTAGTTAGAAAGAAATTGAGCTATTTTTTAAAAAGGTGGTCCATTTGACTCACATGTTGACTAAAGTTTAAGGTTAGTAATGGAAAACGACTCCTGGTTGAGTTTACAACTCAATTTTGGGTGAGCTGCTGGATTCTAGACAAGGTTTATTGCACTTGCTTATTTTTCCCATCTGAGAAGTTTCACACACCAACTTCAAGTTGTATTAGTATGATTTCACAGATTTGATGATTGCTATATGAACAATCTATTCTCCAAAGAGAGTACCATGTCAGTATTTTGCTGCTATTTTCCTGGGAAAGAAATTTATCATCTTAATGATTGTAGTGAATATATGAAAATGTCTTATTGCTTTTGGAATAATTCAACTTTAATAAAATTCAAAGTATGTCAAGTATCAAGATTTTTGGAGAATTAGCAAGGGGCATTTAGTTTTCTTTCCCTTATAAACTATATTATACAGCATAGACTCCAGTCAATGAGTGTCACCTGCACGCATGCCTCAGATGCATCCCATAGATGCACCTTTCAACTACAAGATTCCCCATAGTTAGTTTTCGCTTCTAGTCTCTTTGATGGTTGAATAAAGCCAAGACATGGCCACAGCAGTTGAAGAACTGCAAAAGTTCAAGTGCTTAGAACTCTTTGAACTAATTCTGTCTCACTGTGCTCAGGTGGAAGGTGCCCCATTTTTGTAAAACTGATGTGAGTTGTTAAGTGGCTAGGAATCACTCTCAAGCTCTCTGCAATGTATTCCAACCAACAAAAATGACATTATTTTTATTTATGTCACCCAAGATTGCTCTGTCATTCTTTACATGGCTGGCACAGAATCCTCGGTGTTTACGTTAAGACCTTAAAGGAAAGGAAGATGTCAAGCCAACACTCACTACGATTGTCATTGAAACTAAAGTCAGTGGCCTTCTTGACCACTGTATCTTAGTATCATATTTTGATTTGTGACAATAGCTGGTCAGTCAATGTTTAATGACAATATATTGCTGAGTCTCCATATGCTGCCAAATTTATAGGCTGGTTCTGGTAATTAAGTTAGCAATTGATAGCACTTGTTGAAGAAAGACAAATGAAACCTTAAAAACTGGGAAATGCTTACATAGGCAGGTATGGTTGAAAGCAACACGAATTCTTCCCCTTTGGAGAGTCTAGTGACAGAAGGTGAGTTTGAAATGTACACTTCCCAAACAGGGGTCTAACAAGGCTTCTGGGATGACTGTTTCCCCCACCCCAAGAGAGCTATCTTAAGGTGGAGTTGACTTCCACCATCCTATTCCAGGCTTCTGAACTTTTCTTCGAAAACCCCTCACTGAAGAGTGTTTTCACACACTTTCTTCTCTGAATGATGGGAAATGATGGGCCACAAGAGGGCGCATTCCAAAGACTTTTGCTTCTTACCAGTTAATCTTTTAGGGAAACAAAATTTCACCTCCTGGAAGGCCCAGTCTGCAGCACGCTAATCTTAGTGATTATCAGTTACTGCTTTCTTCCTCTCATCCAGGAAATGTTAGGATTTTATGGGAAGGGAGGAACATGGCTACCTGTAATACATTCAATGAGACAGAAGGAAAAGGCATGGGAATTCTAGTGGTGCATGTGAACTTTCTCAAGCTCTATGGAAGACAGTGGGATGATAAATTTCCGAAGCAAACAAAACAGTACGTGGAGAAATGTGACCATGAATCATCAGCCATACTGATTTGCTCACACATCTCCCCATAATACGGCTGCCTGGGCTCTTGTAAAAAAACATCTTCCTTGTCCCCGAATTTTGTTGCCTCATTTGCCTGTCTTATCAATGCTTTTCACACACGACAAATGACAAGTGGATGTGAGCAAGGAGGAAAAAGCCTATTTATTTAACGCCTTGTGAGAACATAGTGTGCAGTTTCAGAGGATGTGTTTGTTTCCAAACTGAGAGTGTGGAGAGAATGGTGAAGGAAAGAGGCGACAGAGAACAGAGGTTGGGCCTGTGAAGGAGGTGTATGAGAGCGGGGGTGGAGGATGTCAGGGGAGAAACTCAGTTTTAACATTCTGAGAACTGGGAGTAATACCTTCCCAGGCACTTCTCACGAAAACACCTATTTGTCTTGGCCCCTTTTGCTAAAATATACTTGATTTGCTCTCCGAGTTGTAGTTTAGAATTCTTTATCCTGAACTGGGTCCTAGATCTCAAATCAAGAGTAAAAGTTCCCAGGATCTTTGGAAGGAGTTTCTGAAAGTCTGCGAGTTGAGCCTTAACAACTTCTTCTCCTTCTTTTAGGAACCTAAAACCCCTTTCTCTCTAAATATTTAACCATCTTATTTTTCATTTCTATTTAAATTAAAGTGCAGGCATGTGGGTGACCACTGACAATTCCATAGCATGTCCTTAGCAAATACATTAAGGCTGAAAAATCAATCAAGATCATTTATGACCAAACATGCAGTTTTGCTACAGACAGGACCCTGGACCGCAGGTGAAAGGAGGCATAACCGCTCTGTCCCCACTGGCTGCTTATGCAGAAACCCCTGGAGGCAGTCCGAGTGCAAAGTTAGTGCTTCAGGAAACACACACGCCGTCACTGGTGGCTCTGTATGCTCCCACCGGTGACTATACCACACCCAGGCACAGGGAAACCTTGGCGAAGAGTGGGAAATTAAATTAACAGTCATATTTTACAGGGAGGCTCTTCCCCACCAGAAGAGTTTAAATCCTCTATAGACAACAAGGCTTTCCACATTAACATTAGACATAGTACCCGTAGATCGAAGGGCATCATACTTTACGCAGGACCCTGGTGAGGAAAACAAAACAAAAAGGAAACACTGAGTGTATTGCTTAATTCATTGGAAATGTTCTAATGCCTATCCGCCCACAGATTTGAGTTACAGGACTTGGGGGATGAGCAGCATCCTGGTGTGGGGGAAGGGAATAATGAGGGGCTGGGCAGCTTAACCCTTTTATGATGGGGATACTACAATCATTTGAAAAATCCCGAAAGCAGAGGACAGTCTGTTTTCAGGTGTCCTTACTTCCAGCTCCCACAGTCTTCCCTCTTTCTAATCCTGCCCACCGGCAACATTTCCAAGGTGTTCCCTGTAAGATGCAAAATTTAGCTCTCCTTCCCATTTTTAGGCATTTTTTTTTTAAAAAAATCTCCCTTTGGTATATGTCCACTGAGGTTTAAGTGATGAAATATTATCACCCACATGGATTTGTGTGGGACTTTCTTAGTGAATTACTCAGGCAGAGCAGGCTGTGATGCAAGCCTTGCTCACAAGCCTCAGGGAGGAAAAAATAGCATAGAGGCTGAAAAGGATATTATCAGAGTAGGTGATGAAAGGTTAGCAAAGCCACTAGCGGTATCTTATTAAATAGGTAATAGTGGAGGAACCCAGTGTGCACCAGTAGAAACTAAAATGCTGTACCTGCCCATAAAGCATCATGGGAAGGCTTCCATTTCAGGATTTTACAGCAGGAGATATTTAAGTCAGTCCTGAAACTGATTAGTAATTGATCCTCAATTAGTAATTGAGCCTTAGGTAACCTTCTATTTTTCAAATTGTTATGCACACAGATTTGAAGAGTGAACCGTTCTGAAAACATCACTGCAGTATAGCAATCTCTCTCAGGTAATAGACACATAAAAGGGAAAAGAACCAAGAAGCTAGTTATATTTTTCATACCTAAGCAATTGGAAGGCTGTAATTCCTTCCTGAAGCCTACAACCTTGACAAATATTAATTTCATCTCAGCTTCTAGCTGTCTCATTCTCCCCACCCCCTTCTGCAATGAAAGCTAAATGTAAAAGAAAAAAAAATGCACTGTTTAATAAGTCAGAACACAATAGAACTTTTAAAATGTACCTGCATGTAAGGTAGATTTTAAGAAGACTTGATTCTCTCTCTTCCCCCTGTTCTCCTGAGCATTATGGCAACAGCATTTTCACGAAATGGGATCTCAGTGTTATTTTATTCCTGACAAAATATCATGCAATATACAAATAGCAGTTCCAGAAATGGACACCAGGAGAAGGAGGCGACAGGCATGTCAATTAGTGAGGGGAAAATCCAAATGTCAGAAATATGGGGGAGAGATACAGCATGCAGGCAACGGACGGGAATACAGGGAACCGTCTTCAGCTCAGTTAATGAAACCAGGGCATAAATCAGCGCCGCTTCTCCCCGCGGTACCAGGGGATGCCACACAGTCACTTCTCCGCCAGGACCGGGATGAAAGTCATTTTCTGATGACTCTCTGATCCTAATATAACAGCACCTGACAGATTGAGTCCCCTCTAATGAGTACTCTCTTTGTACAATCCTCTCTCAGGAACACGAAATCATTTGCTTCTGAGTACAGCAGCCTGTGAAGAAGGGGTGGGGCTATCTCATGCTTTAGAAACCTGATCTTGTGAAATGAGAGGCTGTCCTGCAGGCTGCTGCTGGAAGTAAGCAGCCTGGGGCCCTACAGATCCATTTGCATATGCTGCCACTGGCTCATCTCCAAGGAGCCCTCCCTCGACCCCCCTCCCTCTACCTCTCACCCCCCAGTATCTATAAACATCTCTGCACTTTATTCATGGAAAGTCCAATGTGCGGGTTCAAATTGCCACCTGTCCCCTCTCTTACCTGAGGGCCATCTACCATCACCCTCAGCCCCTCCAGTCAAGCATGGGTCAGAGCAGAGCAGAACCTGTGGGGATGAGTTATCTGAAACCCAGTGCTCCCATCCTGGGGACAGGTCTGATGCTTCGGTTTCAAACTCATACCTAGAAACACACACACACACACACACACACACACACACACACACACACACAGAAAGAAAAACAAAACACAACCGTGTGCCCTCTGGCTCCTCTATTGCAGCAGCTACTATGTCTCTGTCTTTAGAGTGGCATCCTACACAGTTGAAGGTTTCAGAAGCTGGCCTGCTTAGAGGCAGAAGGGAGAGCAGGAGGGACTTGTTAACATTCTCCAATAGCAGGACCTTTGGCCTCAGTGTGGGGAGCCTGCCACTCCTGTGGGCTGGTCTTCAGAGGCTGGAAGGCTTTGGCAGCCTCTACCTCTGGTCTTGGGAAAACCCTACCTACCACCTTAAAGTCAGCTGCTGATTGTCTTCCTAAATTTAAATGACTACGCTCTCTTCCTGGAATCTTCTCTTTGCTTTCTTAAAACAACAGAACAAAACCGAACAACGACAAAAAACCCCACCAATTTTTAGCAAAGGGGAATCCTGGATTCACTTTTTAAAAAAGTCATCATGCTTCGTAAAAAAAGACAGCTTCCCCTCTAACTGCTCCTCGCTCTGGTGATCTGATCATAAACCCAGCTTTCTATTCATTTCAACGTCTGCCAGCGACCTGAGGTCAAAGGAGCGCTCCTCACCACTGCCATCAAGGCCAGGGGCCTAGCAAGTTTATATAACAATGCCAGAGAACCTTTCCTATGCAGCCCTCCTTGGCCCTGACCTCAGTGAATTACCACCATCATAATCACTGTGTGCAGGGTGTGTTAAATTAAGAACAGGATCTGCAGTGCACAATGCACAGAAAAGCTGCCTTCTGCTGCAGGGAACTTGAAACTGTGCCTAGAATTTATGGTACCGTAAACATCTCAGGGTGGAGAGTGGTAAGTACGGCCGGATTTCCGTTAGCTATAGAAATCCAGGCAGAGGACCCTCCTAGGGAATTGTAAGTTCTGAGATGAACTTATTTAAAACTGTTCTCAGGTTTGTACACGGAATGCATGTATGCCAGACAGCTATAAGCAGGTACTTGCCAGAGGGGGTCATGAAAAGAGGGCATGTTTCATATACTACCCAGTGGTGAAGTGCAAGTGAGGAAAAATATTTCATCAATCAAAACTTCTAGTCTGAACACCTGTACCTTAGAGTCCTGGCTGCCCATGAATAAATGGACAGGTTCTAGTGGAACGAGAAGAAAATAGGTGACTTTCTTATGTTTGAGTTAGGCAAGAACTGAGTGGTTGCAGAATCCAATCACTCCACCAACGTAGGGAATTTCCCTCTGTTAGAGCAGTTGTTATAACTGGTGCTTATTAAGTTGCATTAAAGGAAGGAGACAAAAATGGGGGATTTAGAGGTAGCAGGTAGATCTCTTAATATAAAATAATCTATGCTAAGGGTGCTGCCACCCGTTAAAAGAAATAAATGAATTGCCTACTTTCTGCTAAACACTGTGCACCATAGATAGGACTTCAGACCTGGGTATCCCAGTCTAGACTGGCAGGAGATGTTAGGGAAGGCTTCTAGAGTAAGTGGTGTCATCTCTTCTGCAATCTGCTCTTATTAAGAGCAGCCCCTGAGGTTTGCGTGTTGAGAGGAGTATTCTAGGCAGAAAAAACTGCAGGCATGTCACTGCCCAGAAGTAAAGGGATGCATGGGATGCATATTTGTGTGGGAATAATATAGCCACAGCTTGCTAGAGCTTACAGTGTGCTTTTATTTGTGTTATTCCGTTTGATCCTCCCAAGCCTATGGGAGAATGGGTCAAATGTCATAGGTGACCCCCACTTGATAGAAGATGAAACTGAGATTAAGCAATTAATGAATAGATGCAGCCCCTGCAGCCCCCAGACACACTCAGTTCTAGGCCATGCTCTATCTAGAGCAAGAGTTGAGCAACTTTCCCTGTAAAGGGCCAGAGAATAAATATTTTAGCTTTGTGGGCCAGTCTCTGTTGTAGCTACTGAACTTCATATTAAAGTGCAAAAGTAGGTGCAGACAAACCTATAAAGAAATAAGCAGAGCCGTGGTCCAATAAGACTTTATTAATTGGCACCGACGTTTACATTTCATATAATTTTCACGTGTCACAAAATACAATGTTTCTCCAATCATTTAAAAGTGTCAAAACCTGTGGGCCTTCATTTGCCTTTGTTGGTCCCTGTTCCCGATGGTGGGTAACAGAGGCCCCGTGGGGGCCTGAAATGAGTGAGTAGCAGAAAACACAGGCACTAACCATGTCCCCCCTCTCTCTCGTGCTGTGTTTCATTCTCAGGCACTACCAGGAAGACGCTGCACTTTGAGATTTCCAAAGAGGGCAGTGACCTGTCCGTGGTGGAGCGTGCAGAAGTCTGGCTCTTCCTAAAAGTCCCCAAGGCCAACAGGAACAGGACCAAAGTCACGATCCGTCTCTTTCAGCAGCTGAAGCACCCGCAGGGCAGCTTGGACACAGGGGATGAGGCCGAGGCCGTTGGATTAATGGAGGAGAGGAGTGAACTGTTGATATCGGAAAAGGCAGTGGATGCTCGAAAGAGCACCTGGCACATCTTTCCCGTCTCCAGCAGCATCCAGCGGTTGCTGGACCAGGGCCGGAGCTCCCTGGACATTCGGATTGCCTGCGAGCAGTGCCTCGAGACTGGTGCCAGCCTCGTGCTCCTGGGCAAGAAGAAGAAGAAAGAAGAGGACGGGGAAGGAAAGAAAAAGGCCGGAGGAGAAGGAGGGGTGGGAGGAGACGAGGAGAAGGAGCAGTCCCACAGACCTTTCCTCATGCTGCAGGCCCGGCAATCGGAAGACCACCCCCATCGGAGACGGCGGCGGGGCTTGGAGTGTGATGGCAAGGTCAACATCTGCTGTAAGAAACAGTTCTTTGTTAGTTTCAAGGACATTGGCTGGAATGACTGGATCATCGCCCCCTCTGGCTATCATGCCAACTACTGCGAGGGTGAGTGCCCGAGCCATATAGCAGGCACGTCGGGGTCATCGCTCTCCTTTCATTCAACCGTCATCAACCACTACCGCATGCGGGGGTACAGCCCCTTCTCCAACCTGAAGTCGTGCTGTGTGCCCACCAAGCTGAGGCCCATGTCCATGTTGTACTATGATGATGGGCAAAACATCATCAAGAAGGACATTCAGAACATGATAGTGGAGGAGTGTGGGTGCTCGTAGAGGGCCCAGCCCAGGGGGAATGGGAACAAGAGTTGTCCAGAGAGGACGGTGGCAAAATGAAGAAATGTTTAAGGTTTCTAAGAAAAACCAGAAAAATAAGAAATTTTAAAAATAATAAACTAGAAACAAAACCTGAAACAGATAAAGGAAGATGTGGTGGAAACATTCCCTATCCAGGGCTCAGAGATGAAGCAGTGAAGGAGATGGGAATTGAGAAGGAAAGGCCGAACGGAGTACCCTTCATTTCTTCTGATATCAAAGTGATATCAGTCGTTTGAGCAGGAGTATTGTCCTCTCCTTTTCAGTTCCCTCTCAGGGTGAGCCTGGAAGTCAGCTTGTCTAGTCTGCAGTAACGTGGGCTGGCACCACCCAAATAGCATCTATAGAAAGCCATGAATTTGAAAGGGCCGGTTACAGGCACTTTCCCACCCAGTTACCCAGGTTGTAAGGTATGTCTGCGTGACCCTCTCTCTGTGTATATCAGTGTGCGTACACACACGCTACCCCTCCCCCCCACACACATGCACACATGCCACAGACCCCGCACACTCAGACACCCTCCCCAGACACACACACAGAGGCATTTCTACACACCCACATACATCCACGTCCTGGTAAGAGAACAATAGTGTGCAGGTGGTCACACTTCCTTTTTCTGCAACAAAACAAAACAAGACAAAATAAAAGCCAACAAAAAAAAATTGAGAACAAGACTAGAAGAGTAAAAGATCAAGGAAAAAAGAATACCAAGTTATATTTCGTTAAGGTGCTTATGATCCTAGAACTATGCAACCTAATAGGTTTGAAACTGTTTACCTGAGAGAGAACAAAAAGAGAGACTTTTTTGTATTGGAAGTAACCTGATTAATTTTTATTTTCTTCAAGGAGAGATACTTGAAAGGAATATGTTTGTCCATGTGTTGGATCCAAACATTTCTATATTTTGTAAATGTTGTGTTTTCTTTTTATTGTTTACTATTTGCACTACAATGGTGTTTGACCTGTCCAATCCTTATTTAACAAGTATTTTCTTTGGGTGGGGGTGGGAGGGTTAAAAGCTGCACTTAATGTGAGCTATAAAAGAACTGCTACAGCACACAAAATAGCTATTTTTATTATTATAATTATTATTATTATTTTGTACCTTAAAAATAGACACATACACCAAAGACATTTGTGTGAGCCTTTAAACAGTCTGTCTGTGGTTGGTTATCATTCACCATCAATGAGTCAGGGGTTGAGATTCAAGGTTGAGTAGGGTAGATTGTGTTCAGGCCTAAAAGACCTGAGAAGTTTGATTTTTGACTCCTTTTATATCCATGAAACAGGACATTTCATACTGGATGTACAGTAGTTGTACACTGTTGGATATCAAGTTTAATCAAATTCATGAAATGCTACATGCTTGTATATGTATATATACATTGCTTGTGCATATGCATATCTGTGTGTATATATACATGTATTACATCATGTCCATACACATTTTAAGCACTTCAGGCTGTCATTTTTTAATGTTTTTAAAGAAATGAATGTTTGTGTGCAAAACACAGTATTTTTAAGAAGGAAAGGTTATAGTTTTTGCTTTTACTCTGAACTAGGTGGGCACATTTCAAAAAATTTGTTGGGAAAAAGCCTGGAAATTCCAGGGAATATTCAGCAAGGCCCTCTTTCAATGTACAGAGATTCAATCCCCTCCTCTTCCTTGTCCCCCATTCCCATCCTACAAGTTATTCCCTGCTGGAAAAACAGGAAACTCCTGTTCATCAAAGCTCTAGGCTGATTTTATTTTTTTGCAGTTTATATTTATTATCTATTGGAATCAATCTTAAATCAGAAGCTTTTCCAGAAAGAAATATTTAATTTTTAGTCCAGAATAAAAGAGTTAAGTGCAATTTTTAAAAATGCCTAAGGCCTGATTGTGAGAAATATTTTGGGCTAAGTAATGTCATCCCTAGTTAAAAGATAAATAATCTGGGAGAGGGTGTTAAGAGAGTAGAATTAAGGAAGAGAATAGTTAAGAGGAGGCAGGAATGGGAGCAGGAGTAAAAACTCCTAGTATAGCCCAAATTTTTGATGTATAAGTTGGTATGTATTAATTCAGATGCAAATATAAAAGTACATGCTTAAAGCTAAATTCTTACTAGTTTATTCAACAGTATTTAGCTTGCCTAAAACATCTCTAAGTTAATCATTTATGTGCTTTTAAAAAAATACAGAGCCTTATTTTTACTTATTTGTTTGCCAAAATTTAAAAATGCTAATAATTGGGGAAAATTACAGTCATTAATGTTTTGTATAATATTAAAACCTCAGCCCTATGTCAATTCATAGGTTTTAAAAATAATTAACTGTAGGAAAATAAAATATTAGTGAGAAACCAAATGTTACCAAAGGTGGTTTAGCTGTTGTATTAAATCAGTGTATGGTAACACTAGGCTGTATGTAGGCAAATCACTTTAATGCCATTACCTGGCAGATATACTTACTACACTGTAGACATTTACGATTTCTTTTGCAGGAAACAGCATGTACTGCACAAGAGTGGATTCTAGTTATGAGAGGGAGAGCATGCACAATTGGTGCTTACTTCCTCCCTCTTAACCACTCAACAGGAAATCAGTCAGGTGGGGAAGTGGGTGAGGTGAGGAAAGTTTTAAGGAGAGGAGTAGGTGTCGATGTTCATATTTTACAAATTTTCATAAAAAAAGTTGAATGTTGAGGGCCTTTTGAACTGCCTCTTATTTGGTACTGGACCAAAAATAGAGTGGGAGAGTGGGGAACCAAGTGCTAGTTCATTATGCAATAGCAAAGATGACCAAGGCCATGGATAAAGCAAGAGGTTACAAAAACAGTTGACATACATGCCATATTGAATATATATGCCATGTTTTTAAGCCCTTTAAGTCCTCAACCTATTGGGGGTGAGAGGGAGTTTTGCTTGGTGGCCACAGTAATTATAAGCAGAGCAAAATGAAATTCCATATGAGAATATTTTAATGGGATGATTTATTTTAAATTAATTAGGTTATCACACACTTTTAAACTTTAACCTATTTCATTAAATTTAAATGGCCTTGAAATAGAAATAGAAATTGCTAATACCTTTAATAATCTTGGAAGATATGCAGCCTTGTGAACAACCATACTTTTCATGTAGCAGCATGAGACCAAAAGAAAAAGCTTTTAAATTCTACCGTATTGGGTTTTTCATAGTATGTTTTCCTTGATCTAATCTTAGCATCTCTCCATTCTTTCTCTAGAGCTAATTTCTAGGCTCTTAAAAATCTACCCACACCAACTTTAAAAGCTCTGAAAAGCATTTGTCACCAAATATCTTTGAAGAATGGTAACTATTTTGTACATTGCATTGAAACTTTTGCTCTTTTGCTAAAAAGTAAGACAAGTTTCAGCACACTGAGTTGGAATTTTCTTGTCCCTGAAGACCAATCAATTTCTTATTTATTTAAGATTGATTCCACACTCTGTTTTCAAGGAGAGTGCCTGCATTCTCCTCTTATGTAGAGCAAGGGAATTTTTATTTCACCCCCATGGGACTGGACCTTGAGGTGACTCTAAAAAAATGAGAACTAAAATGCCTCAGTTGTACTGAGCTTAGTTTCAAATTATCATGTTCACTTGAAAAAAAAAATATTTCCTGTGGGCCTTTTGGCAACTCCCCTTTGCAATGTAAAGAAAAACTTAGTCACCCTGAAAACCTACACAATAAATGAAACTTGTAGATGTGGGCAGAAGGTTTGGGGGTGGACATTGTATGTGTTTAAATTAAACCCTTTGTCACTGAGAAGCTGTTGTATGGGGTCAGAGAAAATGAATGCTTAGAAGCTGTTCACATCTTCAAGAACAGAAACAAACCACATGTCTCAGCTATATTATTTATTTTTATGCATAGAGTGAATCATTTCTTCTGTATTATTTCCAATGGGTTTTACCCTCTATTTAAATGTTTTGAAAAAACAGTGCATTGACAATGGGTTGATATTTTTCTTTAAAAGAAAAATATAATCATGAAAGCCAAGATAACCTGAAGCCTGTTTTGTTTTAAAAGTTTTTATGTTCTGTGGTTGATGTTGTTTGTTTGTTTGTTTTTATTTTGTTTATTTTTTTGACATACTACATGCAGTTCTTTAACCAATGTCTGTTTGGCTAATGTAATTAAAGTTGTTAATTTATATGAGTGCATTTCAACTATGTCAATGGTTTCTTAATATTTATTGTGTAGAAGTACTGGTAATTTTTTATTTACAATATGTTTAAAGAGATAACAGTTTGATATGTTTTCATGTGTTTATAGCAGAAGTTATTTATTTCTATGGCATTCCAGCGGATATTTTGGTGTTTGCAAGGCATGCAGTCAATATTTTGTACAGTTAGTGGACAGTATTCAGCAACGCCTGATAGCTTCTTTGGCCTTATGTTAAATAAAAAGACCTGTTTGGGATTTATTTTTTATTTTATGTCTTATTGGTTTTCCAAGATCAACTTTGCACACATATTGCTACATCCTCTTCTGGGTTATAATTTTGTTTCTACTGTAATTATATGGAAAGAGTATGAGAAACAGATTGAGTGGGAGAGAAAGGACAAAAGCTAGAATGAGAGCTCATATAGAAAAAGAAAACATATTGCTATGCAGAGATTTGTAATGGGCTCAGATGCTTGACCAGCAATATTTATATTCATTTTGTTAATTTCCCATTTCTCAAACTGTAGTGGCAAGTAACATGAAATAGAGACTTTCACCCTCCCTCCCTCCCACTCTCTTTTCGCCTCCTCTTTCTCCCTCCTTCTTCCTCCCTTCTCTTATTTCTTCCTCATTTCCTTTCTGGCTAGAAATCTGGAATTATACAACAGAGCAACTAAAGCTAGAGAACTAGATGCACAGGGAAAAAAGTACTGGGACTAATAGGACCAATTTGAAATCACAGAAGTACAGCCAATATTGAATTGATTGGCTTTTTCTTCTATAGGTTTTTCTCTAGAATTTGTGCCTTTCCCAAAGGTTTTTACTGAGAGACTAAATTTATAAATGCTCAGATGAACCAAGCATGTGCCCAGTTTTTTCTTTTTTCATATATCATCGTTTTAACTTCCCTGAACAGTAGATATTGTTATCCCTGCTTTTACTGATGTATCTGAGGCATGAAGTAACATTAATTGGAACTAGGATTCTAAGTCAGATCTATATTCAATTCTAAAGTTAATTTTTTTTATGCTGTTTCATGCTTGCATTTTGTGATAATCTTCTTTTCTACTGAGAAGAAAAGGAGGGGAGAGAGGAGTTGAGTGTTGAACATACTGCTAACTTTTTAACACAAACAGTTTATACTCACCAGATAGTTCACTTGTACTTATCTCCAAGTGAAATGCCAAATTCATGTAAATTTATACTAAATCCCTTTTATTTGTTTTAGGTAGAAAAGTTCCAGATTTAAAAAAAAAAAGAAAAGAAAATGGAGTTGTTATAGTTTTGCTTTATATTTATTAACTTGTCTTATTTTTCTGTTCTTATATTTTGCTAGAAGATACCTTTTGTCCAAAATATTTTACTTTATGGGCCCTGTGTGTGTGTGTGTGTGTGTGTGTGTGTGTGTGTTGCATGAGCACATGAATTAAATGTAATGTCATTTCCTGCTAAGTTTAAAAATGAATGCATTTTAGGGAC